TCTCTCCCTCTCTCCTCCCCCCTCTTTCTCTCTCTCTCCCTCTCTTTTTCTTTTTCTTTCTTCTTTCTTTCTTTCTTTCTTTCTTTCTTTCTTTCTTTCTTTCTTTCTTTCTTTCTTTCTTTCTTCTTTCTTTCTTCTTTCTTTCTCTTTCTCTCCCTCTCTCTCCCCCCTCTCTCTTTCTCTCTCTTTCTTTCTCTCTCTCTTTTCCCAGGAACTGGTAAAAGAGACGCTTCTGCAACTAGGGATCTCATTCATTACTGGCAACTCCCCCCCCCCAAAAAAAAGACCAGACAGGAAGAGGCAGACAAAGGATGGGGAGACCCCACCTGACACCCCAAAACACAACTCCTTCCCCACACCCCAAAAGTGGAGATCAGAAGATGGTTACCTTCCATGGTGACAAAACTGTGAGTCCCCTTGACTTTCAGCTCCTGTAAGACGGAAAAAGTCAGCAAATCCCAGCATGGCAACGGGGGACCCCACCAAAAGGAAGCCCCCCCCCCCATGACAGAGGACAAATTGGGGGTGCCCCAAATTGGGGACGACGACATTGAGGGGGACACCGGCCTCAATTGAAGGATCGAGGCAGTTTTTCCTAACTTGGTCCTTTTCTCATAATTTTGCAGGGAGGAAAAAAAACAAAATTTAACTTAACTCCCAGCCAGCCAAAGGAGTAAGGGTCTCGGTGGGCGTGCCAAAGGGACTTGCAACCACAGAAAAAGGCCAAAGACACCGGGGCAGTGGGGGGTTGGACTAGATGACCTCCAAGGTCCCTTCCAACTCTGACTATCTGTTATCTGACAACACTTGCACACAAGTGGAAACAGGCACACACACCACGGTATGGGAAGGTAGGATGTTGAGAGTCCTTATATATATATATATATATAAACATTTGCAGAATCATAACTGGTAAAATATCCCTTTTGTGAATCTATTTTTTAATACTTTATGGAGTTTTTTTTTCCATTTATACATAATACCAATACTTATTAAACAGTGCAGTGACATTATATATACATTTATGTATCCTGTCTAAACTTACAATACACAATACTTTCATACCCTCATATCTATTATATACATTATTTACATTTTCTATTCTTATATCTATTGTCGATCCAAATACACCATGTTTCCCATATTGCATTGTATTCCGTGTCTCCTTTTAGATCCATAGTTAATTTGTCCTTTTCCACGCACTCTAAAATCTTTTTTTTTTAATAAGGGATGAGGATTCCAAAGCAAATCTGGTGTACAGGCGGTCCTCGGCTTACAACAGTTCATTTAGTGACCGAAGTTACAACATCACTGAAAAAAAATTGATTAACAAATGAGGACTGTTTTTTCCCCACTTATGACCACTGCAGCATCACGTGATCAAAATTCAAATTTTTGGGGCACTGACTTGTATTTACAACGGTTGCAGAGTCCTGGGGGGTCATGTGATTCCCTTCTGACGAGCAAAGTCAAGGGGAAAAGCCAGTTTCACTTAACGACCGTGTCACAAATTTACCAACTGCAGTGATTCACTTAACAGTTGTGGCAAGAAAGGTCGTAACATGGAGCAAAAACTCACTTAACAAATGTTTCACTTAAGCAACACACATTCTGGGCTCAATTGGGGTTATAAATTGAGGATTAAATGTACTAGAGCTGCCTAATGTCATGACCTTGTTAGAGTCGGACTCTGAGGGAAAGGAGGAACAGCCAACAGGGAGTGGAAGTGTGGCTCCGGAGGTTGGGGAGGAGGCTGGGGAAGGACAGAGGCCAGCTGAGCAGTCAGAGAAGGACCCAGGCCCATCCCCTCTTCATCCTAGGACATGCCGGGAGGAAGGAGAAGGGAGTAACTTGGCTTACGAGAGAGGAAGCGGCCATGATTCCCCTCATTGGTTGCAGCTGGGGAGAATAGTATATAAGAGAGACGATTACAACACACAGCGTTGCCAGAAGCAAAGCGTGTGTTATTTTGGGCCGAAGTTATCTTGGTTGGCGTCCTTCCAACAAGACTGTGCCTTGCTATCTCCTTGAAGTTGGCAATTACTTATCTTGGTCCGTTGTGGAAATTCCTTCATTGTAGTTTGTTTTGGTTTTTTGTTTCACCTCTATCTGCTCATTAAGTTCGGACTGTATTGCTTTCTTTTGAAGACTATTTTTGAGTACGTTTTATCTCCAACTGAGAATTATTGAACAGTGGGGCTAAGTTGGAGGCATTAAAGGACATTTATTTACGTTTTTGGATTTTGTTATGTTTGTGTTACACTCCGGGTCATCACACCTAACCTTGGCAACTTGAAGACTGTGGACTTCAACTCCCAGAATTCCTCAGCCAGCCATGTATGGACTTCAACTCCCAGAATTCCCCAGCCATTGTATGGCTGGCTAGGGAATTCTGGGAGTTGAAGTCCATAGTTCTTAAAAAAGATGCCAAGGTTGGATGCCTCTGTGTTTAATATTAATGATGTTCCTTCTTCTGTTACCAATTTTTAATGCTTTTATTTTCTGTTTTTTAATTTTAAAAGCTTGTACCACATTATTGTTAATACTGATATCTTTAATAACCAACATTTTTTTTAAAAAAAAAGAAAGATTAATCTCTTGTTACTGGCTCAGCCTCACAAGCTGGTTGCAGGTAGTCCTCGACTTACGACCACAAGGGAGCCCAACATTTTTGTTGCTAAGCAAGACCGATGTTAAGAGAGCTTCCCCCATTTTATGGCCTTTCCTGCCACTGTTGTTAAGTGAATCACTGCAATCGTTAAGTTATTAAGATGGTCGTTAAGTGAATCTGGCCGCACCCCCCCGATTGACTTTGCTCGTTAGAAGGTCGCAAAAGGGGATTGTGCGACCCCTTTTGCAACCGTCATAACTATGAGTCAGTTGCCAGGCGTCTTTTGACCACGTGGCCACGGGGAGGTTGCAGCGGTCCTAAATGTGAAAAGCAATCACAGGTCACTCTTTGCACTTCCATTTTAACTTCAAATGGTCACTAAATGAACTGTTGTAAGTCGAGGACTTCCTGTATTATGACACTTCACAGGATTTAATAGTCTTCCCTGAAACCCACCTCTGATATTTTCTGGAACTGGGTGTTACCCTGGCTGCATTTTTCAGCGGTCTCTAGTGCAATTTTATAGTTGTCCACAAAAGCCTTGTAAACCCCCAGTTGCGTAGCCTGTGGCAGAGAGAAAGGAAATTAATTTGGGAGGAAAACTGTTGGAATACATGTTAGCAGGCATTTTGTATTGCAAGAACTACATAATTATATTCGGCCAATAGATGGCAGTGTTTAGTGTGCATCTATGGTTATAATAATCTATGGTTTCTCTGTGTTCTAAGTAGAGTTTTCTGTTTCCCATTACAGCAAAAACAGTTGAGCAGTAAAGCACATGGTGACTGTACTCTTTGTTTGCTCTGTGGTGCTACATATAAACAGAATTTCTAACAAAAACCATTTTGAAGTCAACAGGAATGAATGCATTCACATGCCAGTTTGCAAAACCAAAGTCATCACAAATTCGTTTAGAGGTCCTTGATTTTACAACAGTTTGTTTAGTGACCGTTGAGAGTTAGAATGGCACTGAAGAATGTGACTTATAACCGTATTTTCACAGTTACAACCTTTGTAGCATCTCCATGATCATGCGTTAACTTTTGCCAAATTATGGCCACATGACTCTGGGGATGCTGCCATGGTTATAAGTTTGAGGACCGGTCATAAGTCAGTTTGTTTCAGTGCTGTTGTAAACGATCACTAAACAAGTAGTTGTAAATCGAGGTCTATCCATAAAGCAAATCAACAAGCCAAGTCCATGGGGAATCCATATTCACTTAAGAACCATTACAAACTTAACAATTGCAGTGATTCACTTAACAACAAAGAATGGGAAAGGTTGCAAATTGGGGCAAAACTCACTTAACAACTGTCTGCTTAAGCAATGGAAACTTTGGTTTTCAATTGTGGGTGTAAATCGAGGACAACCTGAATACTGAAATTGATTTTATTCCTGTTGTATAATTTTAACTGCTGTTTATTATTATTTGTTCACATTTTTATTAGGGTTGGATGTGTCCCAACAGAGAAGCGTTATAAATAATTTTTTTGTTTATTTCTCCATCTGTCTTCCTTGTAAAGCCAAATATTCCACTTTTTCTGTATCCTTCTTAAGGATGGAACTCAGCTCTTGCTTATAAAATATCTCCATTTTGTCAAAAAAAACCATCTTCAACGTGTCAGGAAGCCATGATAGGCAAGACACAGTTCAGGTAGTCCTCAATTTACAAGAGTTCCTTTAGTGGCGGTCGTAAGTGTGAAACATGGTCACAACAACTTTTTTCAGGCCCCTTGTTATTTTGAATGGTCACTATATGAACTGTTGTAAGTCGAGGACTACCTGTCAATACCAGGTTTTAGCCAATATACTGTATATATTGAAAGGAGATCACACAACCGTTGGAGTTAACTTAAAATCCAACTCAACAGGTAGTCCTTGACTTACAACGATTCATTTAGTGACTGCCATTTGTCAGAAATGGTGTAGGGTCTCATGCTTGGGCGGAGGGTTGGACTAGATGACCTACAAGGTCCCTTCCAACTCTGATTATCTGTTATTTGTTATCTGACTGTCCAAAGTTACCATGGCAATGAAAAGAGCGACTTATTATGACCTTTTTCATTACTTACGACCATTGCAGCATTTCCCGTGGCCACGTGATCAAAATTCAGCTGCTTGGCAGCTGACTCATATTTATGACGGTTGCAGAGTCCCGGGATTGAACAGTCACTAAATGAACTGTTTGTTGTAAACTGAGAACTATCCGTACAGGTAGTCTCTACGTACAATAGTTCGTTTAGTGACCGTTCGAAGTTACAACGGCAGTGAAGGATGTGACTTACGACCATTTTTCACAGTTATAACCAGCATCCCCCTGGTCACGTGATCAAAATTTGGACGCTTGGCAACTGACTCGTATTTATGACGGTCCTAGTGTCCAAGGGTCAACGTGATCCCCTTTAGTGACCTTCTGACAAGCAAACTCAATGGGAAAGCCAAATTCACTTAACAACTGGATTACTAACTTATCAACTATGGTGATTCACTTAACAACCATATCAAAAAAGGTCATAAAATGGGGGCAAAACTCACTTAACAACAAAAATTATTGTGCTCAATTGTGGTTGTAATTTGAGAACTATTTGTATATGCTTTCAAAACCAGAATGAGACTTTACACTCACATTTTTCTAACAAAAACATGAGAATTTACAGTCTGAGGACCAACTTTGTAGATTATCCCCAGACAGTTAATTCTGTATGGTATCGGTTGACTTTTACAGCATAAATCTATTTTATACAAGAGATCCTCTTTATTTCTGCCAAAAAAGGCCTTTTAATAAATATTAGCCTTTTCCTCTAGAAGTTTACCTCAGAAATTCCCTTTCTAAAACAAAAGGCTAAAGTATTTTAATGGTTGCTTTGAGACAACCGAGTTCTGTGTATTTCATTTAATGTTCTGAGAAGCTACGTTTCTGAGGAAAAATGCTTTGGAAATCTACTTTAAAAACAAAAACAGGTGGACATATTTAAAATTGTAGACTAAAATCTCTACTGAATGAAAGGATTAATTTGTGTGAAATATTCAGATCAAGTAAGATCTGAGAGCATGTTTCCCAACCTTGGCCATTTTAAGAGGAGTGGACTTCAACTCCCAGAATTCCCCAGCCAGCCATGGGAGTGGAAGTCCTCCCTTCTTAAACCATCCTGACTAGGGAATTCTGGGAGTGGAAGTCCTCCCCTCTTAAAGCATGCAGGCTGGGGGATTCTGGGAGTGGAAGTCCCCCCTGACTGGGGAATTCTGGGAGTTGAAGTCCCCCCATCTTAAAATGGCCAAGGTTGAGAAACATTGGTCTAAAATAACTTGATGGTATTTTATCCATGGTTTGTCCACTATGGGACAATTTTCAAAGCATATTCAAAGATTATACACAGACAAACCAGAATATTCTGCATTTTTAATCTATCTTTAGAAATTCTGATTCTCTGGGGAAAGAAAATATGGGAATCCTATCAATCATGTGTTTTTATTTCCGTGGGATTACTGTGGTGTTTCCAGGGACACCCCCAAAAATGCCAAGAATATTTATTCGGCAATTCCCTATATATATATATAGCAAGTCCCCAGTTTACGACCATTCATTTAGTGACCGAAGTCACGACACCAAAAAAAAAAGTGACTTTGGATCGGTCCTCGCACTTACGACCATTGCAGTATCCTCCCCACAGCCACGGGATGAAAATTCACACGCTTGGCAACTGACTCATATTTATGACGGTCGCAATGTCCCGGGATCACCTGATCCCCTTTTGCGACCTCCGGTCCATTGGGAAGCCAGATTCACTTAACCACGGTGTGATTGCCTTAACAACAGCAGCGATTCATTTAATGACGGCAGCAGGAAAGGTCGCAAAATGGGGAGGAATTCGATGCACATCTGGATGGAAATTCTGGGCTCCATTTTGGTCGTCATTCGAGGACTACCCCCATATTGCATTAAGCCGTAAATGATGGCCAGGGTGCAATTTGAACTAAGCCCAAACTCAACCCTGGGGGGGTGCAGAACTTGCTGGATTTTGGTGTAGGGGAGGGGTCCCAGATCCCCTTTGTGCCAGGGGGATTACCAAAAAGGTGCAGTGGATTCGAGAACTGGTGGGAACCGAACTCACCAGCTTCTGGAAAAGATGTCCCAGGACCACCTCGCTATCCCAATGCTGCAGGTGTGGCCAGAGGTTGTCGTACATTTCCTTGTGGATCTCGTAGAGATCCTGGATCTTGTAGAAGATGGTTTCGATCTGCTGGATGCTGAGGACAGGCTGGGAGGTGGTGGCCGTGGCCCTCAGTGGCTTCATGGGCTGCAGGGGGAGGGGGGAGGAAGAGCCATCAAAAGGGGTGGGGGATAACTCCTGGGATCTCTCTCTCTCACACTCACACACACACACACAAACACCAAGGGTGTGTCTTGTTCGATTGACTGACACAAGCTGGCTTGTATTGCGGGGTGTGTGTGTCTCCAAACGTGGCCCCTTTAAGACTGGTGGACTTCAACTCCCAGAATTCCTCAACCAACTACACTGAATTCTGGGAATTAAAGTTAAACGGGCCACGTTTGGAGAAAGCTGTTATATTAGGATCTCCCTTGTTTTAATCCCCACAACAATCCTGTGAGGCAGGCTGGGTGGAGAGACAGAGAGAGAGAGAGAGAGAGAGA